TAGACGGACAAACAGATATAGACGGACAAACAGATATAGACGGACAAACAGATATAGACGGACAAACATATATAGACGGACAAACATATATAGATGGACAAACAGATTCAGACGGATGAACGGACAAACTGACATTTTGCTGTAAACCAATTTTACGGTATCAAGGACTCACATCGTGGATTCTAACTGCACAACCTGTTAGAAGTAATTTTCTACATCTTGATATAAGATTTATCCCCTTTTTTATCAAGTCCCCACAATTCGAGTTTTTCTGTCGACAAATTGCCGTTTCTTGCCAAAGCATTACATAACTTTTTATACATTTCGAATATTACTTTGTATATACATACGTAAACGAGAAAGTATAAACAACAACTTACTCTTATAAGTTAATGTGAAATCAAGTTAAGAAAACCCTAACAATGTATGTCAATTGATTATTATGAACGAAGAAGTAATTATTATTTAGTTTATTTGAATGTAATGATGGACTTCATTACATTTTTGAAGGGGTTACACGTTCTAGAAGAGCCTCCTTAAAAGCGAGCATCGGTCTGTACCCTTTCACGCCAAACCAATGGCAACCAGCGTCAACCAATTGCAAGAGCTCGGAACCGGTGGCGTCGAGCGCAAGCCAACAATTAGGCGCCGTTCGACCAGTTCGACATTTGCCAAACCCCACAATCACTTGTGAACTGACCTCGCGCGCGATTTAAGTGCTCATCGTTACTTTTGTGGCTGAATGTCTTAGTTGTTTGGTGTAAGTGACTGAACAGAATAAAACAGGCTACAATAAAACTTCTTCTTTTCTTCACTATTTTATCTGGTAACTACTTTGAGCCATAAACCGTTCATGTCGTAATTTTCAACATTTTCCATAAAACGTTCTCTCTTTGCTTTATAATTTACTCTATGCAATGCACCTATATTGCTTAGTTTTATTTTCCAATTTGCTCAAAACAATTGTAGGAATAATACAAAATTATAACAATATCTATTGCGAAAACTAAAAGCGTCAGACAAGAGATCGATTCTCTTCGAAACTTAAATGTGAGTTTAATGTTATTTGTAACCTACGAAAAAATGCGCAATCTCATTGCAATTTGTTATACAGATACTGAAAAAGAGTACAGTGAGAGCCAAAGAACTAGCATATATGTTATTTGTGCGACCCATATTAGAATATGGCGCGGTATGTTGGGACCCATACAGAATTTTTCAGAAAAGGGATCTAGAAAAGGTCCAGTGTAGAGTATCAAAATTTACTTTCAGGGGTACCAAGAATAAAGGGGTATGGTAGTCACTCGAAAGGAGGAGATTAAAGTCACGTCTCTAAGCAATGTATAAATCATACATAAGCCTTCGAGCGTGGAAAGAAATTCAAAGTCGATTAGGGAAATCTACATATTTCGGCAAAACGGATCACATCTACAAAATTCAGACAAAAATTCAGATAAGAAATATTCATTCGCGAATCGAACTATTTGTGACTCGAACGGTTTGCATGTGACAGTCTTCGATCCTTTTCCTCAAAGCCTGAGCAAATTTAAAAATAAATTAGTTTCCTGAATATTGATATGTGTTATAAATATACTTAATACTATTCAGTAAAATTATATCTTCTATGTAATTAAGTATTATTATTATTATTATCATTATTATCATCATTATTATTATGTGCAGTGCAGTGGCGTTGTGAATCTGAGGGAAACGAGTGTGTAAGAAAGACATTACAACTCGGTGTTTCGCTGCATGGTAAGGTGCAGTGCTATGCAAGATTGGACGGTAAAATGTTCACGTTAATTTGTAAAGTTTGTAGATTTTGTAAAGTTGTTACAGTTAAAGTTGTTGCATTCACAGCTATTGTTTCAATAACTTAAGTAATTTAAATCAAGCGACAAAAATATTAAGAAATAGCTAAAATGAGTATTTATTTTATTGTGTTAATTTCCAAGAACAAAGAATTATAAAACGTATTCAGGAATGAGGTGAAAATAATATGGATAATATACTTCATTCAGAACTATTAAAATCTAAAATGAAATTTTGACATTTGAAGTTCCATACAACAATAATGAAATTTACAGGTCGTTCTGCAGTTCAAATGTTTGTATAAAGAAGTTTGGCAGAGTTTTCGGCCCCCGAACCATTCGAAACTATTGAATGTATTAATCCAAGCAAAGAACAAGCACACCGTACTATCTGAGGAGTTTTTAAATGCTGACATATCAGTTTTTTTATTGAAAAAATTGTTTTTCATTTCTTGAATGACTCTCCATCTATCTGAATGATTCGAGCGAAAAATTATTTTTAGAAATCCCACCCACAGCTTGCTTTTTTTCCATATTCAATTTTGCATGAAACAATACTGGCAATCACAAAAGCCAATAGTTCAAAACGAGAGTACAAGTTAATGTTATAATGTGCTTAAAATTACTTTTAAGTGGACATGAATAAAGTAAATTAGTATTAAACATTAACAATTTACATTTTGGGATTGCTCAATCGTCAATAAATACATTACAAATTTTGGCGGATATTATACCTTAACAGATATTCTCTATCAATCAGATGCACATACGAAATCGAGATTGATGGAATGTTTTCATTTATTAGGACGATACCTTAGTGGGCATTTGTACCTCGTTCGAAGGTAACGGAAATTTCAATAAATACATTAAATCTATTAAAATATCATTCAAGATAATTTAAAATTAAGAGAAAATTTGTGGTTCTTCTTGCATGTCAATCATTTTACAATTTCTGACAACAATCAAAACGCGGAGCCAAAGAGTAAACAAACAAGCAAACAATGCTTCAGTATCACGAATTACAGTTTCTGTAACACTCGCGCCGAAATGCTGAGATTCTCTACAAAGAAACGCTCGAGCGATATGAATATGACAGAATGTATTTAATACGAGAATGTCATGTAGTTACTAAGAATGGGGTTGCATCTAATTATAGAACATATAAACTGTTTTAATTCTATCGTAGACAATACTGAGCCACATTACGAAAAACCAATGGTGCTGGGGCACAGACCCTTTCCCCAGTAACAAATCGAACTAGTGAAGATTTTCAGAGAAAAAAACTACTTCTAGAGCAATCAAAAGCATTACTATTCAATGATAAAAGTATTACTAAAGGATTAAATTTCATACTAATAAATCTACACATCATTAGATATAGTTGAGTATTCTAGCCACTATCTTACAAATTAGAGGTTTGCTATCAAAATCTACTCTTTCCATTATTTACCGAAATTTACTTTATCATGGTCTTCTTCAGGAGACCCGCCTGATGGTCGACTGATGGTCGAAACGTCGGCAACACAGCCTTCGACGCGACGTCACCTGGACAGCCAAGATCATTTACACGCGTTCACTCTCTCTGCCAGAATGGCCGACCCGACAAGGCAGCGTATTACGAAACAATTTCCGCCGAGAAGAAAGGTTGCGGCCGAGTGCAGCTCACAGCCAATCGCCGCAGCCCCTGCAGCGACTCCGACCGCGGGATCCGAGGGCTGGATGGATTTGCTACGCTGGCTGACCGGCTGGCGAGGATTCCTCCGCTCGTCGGCGTACTCTAGCGACCGCTGTCCTCATCCTCATTCCTCCAATCAGGGCCCTAATAACCTCATGATCTTCCTTGTCCTCTCCTCTCCTCTCCTCGCCCCATAGGTACACACACACACACGTCGGACGCTCGGAGCGAGTCCCGTGTGGGGCATCGCGGCGTTGGAGGGGGTACTCCTCGCACGAAGACGGACAGGTTCGCTCTGCAGCGGCCATCGCGCGGGTGAAGTCATTCCATACACTGACAGAACGCATGGCCTTGAAGGCGAGCGCCTACTCACGCGTTGTGGATGAGCGTGGTGAAGCTCCCGGCGATGGGCTTGTAGCCGCCGATCAGCTCGCACAGCACCTCCGGGTACTCGGCGCCAGCAGCCCACCGATACGAGCAGCGGCCCTTGTCCTTCTTCCTGAGCAGCGGCCACACGTCGGAGCAGGACAAAGGGCCCCGGGCGAGGTCGTAGGGCTCGGATTCCACTTCTTCACCGCCTTCGGGGACCGAAGCCTCGGAGGCAGACTTGGCCGAATCCAGTGATGCGGACGTTGTAATATTTGGTAGTGCGGTGGCCTCAAGCGTGTCACTGTGTGTGATTTTACTCGGTGAGTGGGGGGAGTTAACAGTTGGAGCGGTAGTTACGGCCCCAAAGACATCAGAGGAGGAGGATGCTGATGGCTCATTCCAAGGAGTTAGAGATGTTGAGCATGGTGTAGAGACATCGGAAGGAAATGAAGCTGATGAGGATGAAGGTGAGACTACATGGGAAGAAATTGGGGATGATGAGGGCAATGCTGAGGATACGTAGCTTGGAATTAGAGACGGAGGTGGTGATGAAAGATGTGGATCGAAAGAAATCAAATCTGGAGGTGGTTTCGAATAGTCATCGGGAAGACTTTGAAATCCCAAAACATCCAGAGAAGGTGAAAATCCATCGTTGCGAGGAAGATCCAGCAGGTCGTAAGTGGCAAGCGGGCTAATCAAGTCACCAGCAGCCTTCTTGGATGCTCTCGTGGAGATTACATCTGCGGGCCCATCGCCGGAGACTTCAACGCACGACGCGCTCAGGCACAAAACGAGCAACAGTCGCTGCAGCAGTGACAACGACGGCGTCACCAGCGCCGGCGCCCCTGTCGGCGTTGCAACGCCCGCGGAAGGCCTTGCCATCACCTCAAGACGCCGCCTTCTGCCGGGGTCGACTCAGCCGACGCCTTTCGGACAGGTTTTCCTCGTGCCCGCAAAGAGCGAGTATCGCCGCCAGCCTCTCCTAACCGGTTTCCAGCCGAGCGATCCGACCTGCGACCACTTCAACCTGCGATTCCGAGAAACGGGGAACTGCTCGTCGTGTTTACGTTCATTATCGCGAGTATTTGGAAACGCTGAAATAGATTGTGTTGTGGTACTTCAAATCGGAGCACGTGTGTTCGAATATTTTTACCTGCTTTTCAATGCTAATAAAGTGTAGTTTCCATCCCCCTTTCATCAATGATAAACAGTTTTGCTTACATTTCGGTTAGCGAAAAATAATCATTCATATACTTACAAAAAGTATCAATCTGTCTGACACTTCCTGTAATCCGCAAATTTGGTGTTAATTACAGACATTATAAATGACTTCTTTACAATTTCTTTTTCACACGTAAGGGGTTATCATGCAATGACACAGATCTGTCATGTGAAATATTATCATTTGTGCAAAACAAAACGAAAGTTACAAATCCCGTTTCTTGAGGTCATGAAGGATCATATGATCAGTCTAGACATAAGGAGTTACTTCTTTGATCGAGTGAAACACACTACGAACGAACCTTTCTTCTAATTGCATTAATTTTGTTACGATCACTATCACACACTTTTTTCTTTCTGTAAAACACGCACACTTATTCCGTGTTAATGGATGTAATATTTAAAACTTGCCGTCGCACTCCATTTGAAAAAGCAACAACAGTGTTTTCTTAAAGACTTCCAATCACACACAGTTTGCATCATACATTTACCGTCGCAGTCGTTTGCATTGCACCTGCGGCTGATGAGCAACACAACGCCAACACCTTCTGCGTGACTCTCGCGCGGTTATCTGCGAGTGGGTGGGCATCGCTGCGTACCACGGCGGCGGTGAACGCGGTCTCTTCAAAGCGGAGCAGAACCACGCCCCTGCGACTGCCACCGCCACTCGACCGACGGGAACTGAGCGGCGGGCGCGCGGGCGGGCGGGCGGGCGGGCGGAAGGCGTTGCTTGCCCGCGACCGAAGCGCTCTTCGCGGCGGCCGGCGAGGTTAGACCGCGCCGCGATCGCGGTTTGGCTTTTCCCCAGACGCGGCGGCGGAGGAGGCGGTGGAGGAGGTGGTGGTGACGGCATTGGTGGAAGCGGCCCAGAGGAAGCTAATGGAATGTTGCTACTGTGATAGAAGTTGCGGCAGCGGTTGTGGGAGCGCGGTTGCTATAGCAATAACAGTGATAGTGAAGACGAAACGTTTTCTAAGGACATAAAGCATCTGTAGAGAAGCGAACAGCAATCCACAGCGATTTCGTCTTTCTCCACATGCACAGTTCGAGTTTCTCATACGCAATTCTCCAGTAGTACACTGTGGTTGAGATATTACTTTCAAAACGCTACACCGTGCTTAATAGCCCTGATTTGATGCAATCGATTAATTATAATAGAAAACAATCAATTTCATTCAACAGAATCTTTAGTTCAAAAGAAACAGGTAATCAATTAATTGGAATTAACATTTTTTACTAGGATAACAATTCATGAAATATAATTTTTGACGTAATTATAGACGAATGAATAATGAAATGCAATTTTTGACTTAAATAATGACGAATAAAAACGAGTTTTAGAGTATTACTTGAAAAAATTTTAAAGATATGTTTATCATTAAAGTAATATCAATTAAATAAAACTAAAATAATTTCCTCAATACTTTTTCCTCATTGCCTCTTACATAATATTGAAATGTAAGGCACAAATGCATCTAATAATGTAAATAGACCTACAGTATGTTTGCAAATGGGCTAAGAAACAAAACAATAGTGCTAGCAAAAATATTTTCTTGTCAGTGCTAGAAACTGAGCTACAAAAACCTAAGTTAAGAGAAAAACGATACATCAATTTAAATGTTTTTTACGAATGCACATATTATAAGCCATATTTATTACATACTGAATAAAAATAATATGTATTCTTATTCTTCTTCAGATTTTATAAGCATAAAAACTAGAGCTGCTGCGACAAGGCACACACTTTCTCTAGACCTAGACTAGATTGTTTCCTTATTTCTTTAGTTAGTGCTATATTTTCGATTTTCCCCGACCATCTTCTCAGCTCTTATCTATTAGAGACCAAAAGACATTTTATCTCGTTTTCTCATATTTTTCCCGAAACCCTAACTGTAGGGTTAAAATATGACTTTAAGAATATTATACAAGGATAAAACCTGGTACTATAAACATATTTTCACTGAAAAATCTGGAGCCGTTTTTAAGAAATGTTACAGCGTATCTAAAAATGGGCAATTTTGAGCTCATTTTCAAATAAAATTTTGAGTTTTGTAGAAACTTCATATGCTATAATTTAAAATCTTGTCCTCTTAGATATATGAGATAAAGAACAAAAAACAGACATATTGTAAATATTAACGTGTGAGATATTTAAAAAAATACAATTATGAATTTCGAAAAATCAAATAATTACATCAAAGAACGTTTATGTAATGTTATTCAGTGCATCTAAACCAATCCGAACACTTCATAAAAAGTAACTCCTAAAATCAATCCTTTTCAAACTTGCAGGGCTTCAAGTTCGTTCAAGTTTATCGAGTTATATCAATTTTGAAAGCTAGCGCCTAAACCGTTCCCATTTTTTCCAAATACAGTACTGAACAACTCGCAACAAGCTTTGACCACAGATAGACGGGCTATACATGTATACGTTTTGTCGTTAATCGATTTTTTGTTATCAAAGTCCCTCAAAACATTGATTCTGACTACAAACTGTGTTAGAGGAAACACTTTCCTACACGTTGGAACAAGAATTCTCTAGTTTTTCGTTACCAAAGTTCAGCAACAAGAGTTTTTCTGACGAAAAATCATTGTTTTTACCGCAGCGTTACAATACTTTCTCTGATAAACGATGTGCCAGTAACGTGCCAGTCTACCGTTACCTTTTTCTGGTGCAAACTTCTTTCCATCTCTGAGCTGGAAGGCAGTGAAACAGTAAATCTAAGTCTCTGCAGCTCCTCAAGAGGACAACGTCGACGCCTCACCGCCACGGGAAGGGATGAATCCTGGCCTCGGCAAAATTCCTTGAAGCCTTCATCATTAAGAGACTAGGACACATGGAGCATCATAAATATTTTTTTTCAACAGCAGTGTAAGTTATTTATAAGAACTGGAATACGATTTTTGATCTATTTAGCATCCCTTGAGAAGCTTTCTTTTTGCCGTTCCTACTTTGAAACTATATAGATTTCTTTAAGCTCTGCCCGATGACGAACCAATCACTAGTGAAATACTTTCCGTTGCACACTTATTATTTGTTCATCGATCGCGCAAATTGCATTTCGATTCTCCTCTCCGACCCCACCTCGCTTCACGAAATAATGCAACGTTGCACGGTTACCAGCCGACGTTGGTCTGTTTCAAGAATACGAGTGCGCATCGTTCTTTTGTACAATGCGAGTACAAAGAAGAATACGAATCTTTGAAGAATTCTTGTAGTTGTTCCAATGTGACATATATGGAACGAATTACAGGCAACATCAACATTTTATCTCTAACCCCGGCGGAACCGCTCGTGATAGCTTTCTTAAAGACACATTAAAGTCCCAAACGTAGGAATTATGTTCCAATATTCTTGCACGAATATGAACGCCAATTTCAAATGTGTTGGTTCATAATAAACTTTATACATATATGCTATAACTTTTTTAATTCGAATATCGCAGAAAAAAGAGCACAATAACACAGTCATTATTTCACATTATAGCAATAAAAAAATTGCTACAATTGATTAATTGGGACAAATAATAGTACCTAAATTAATCGATAAAATGATTTCAATTAAACAACTTATCATCGTTTTTTTTTTTTCATTAGCCGTTAGTGCCGAAGATGGCGGTGGCGGCGGTGCTGCCGTTGCCAGTGCGTCATTGCCTCCGGCGGAAACGCGCCGTTGCGTGCTTGCGCTGGGCGGGGCCGCAGGGGGGGGGGTGGCAGACCGAGGCCTCACAAGGAGGTTGCGGATTTGCATCCACATGCGCTCGCTCCTTCCGGGAAGGTCGAAAGATTCCTGCGCTTTCGAGCACTCCAGAGGCGGAAAATAAAAGTTGCAGTGCCTAAATCGAAGTTGATCGAAAATTGGAACCAGAAAGCATATACTGTCTTCGCCTGAACTCAGGAATGTTCCAACTTATATGAATTTCAGTTATAAACTGTCAACAATAGTAAAGTAAACGGAGAGTGCAATTACGTACATCTTTTTACAATAAGTTTCACTTATTAAATCACTTAAAAAACATCTAATGTTTGTAAAAAAAGCTTTCTTCTCTACATATTTAAAAGAAATCCTTATTGCTACCGTCCAATAAATTATAGTAAGGTTATAATATGGATAACATATATAGTTATTATAAGCAAGACACAACATTTATGATAACTAATAATGTTGGTTAAATAAATGTATTTAATCATTATGGGAAAAATACTTGAAACGAAATATACATAAACATCTCTACGCATTAATATAAGCAATGGGTAATGTACTTGATAAGTGTATTCAAATTACACTAGGAATCAAAAATCATTAAATGATTTTGACATAATGTACTGCCAATCTTCTAAAATGTTGATCAAATAATGTTGTTATTACTACAATAAACTACCATCCAAATAAGTAGAACTATACATTCTTCGAAAGAAATTCAGTGAGCATTCCTTTTGCATTTAAACAAAGAATAAAATTAACTAGTTTTCCTATTCCTATTAGTATTCCATTAAGTTATTAAAATATCTTTTTAAAAGACAATCATTTTAATTTTGAACCCACTTAACAACATATTAGAATAAATTATCGTGTTGAGTAGTATAAAAACATGAAAGAAGCTGCCGTGAAGAGAGAAGTAGTTTCCCTTGCAGAGAGACTTGCTGCTCGCAGATTCGTGCCACTATCATCCGCTCATTTGGAGAAACGTCCATCACACCTTTTGGATCAACAGCAGAGTGGCTAGAAAAGTAATTCGTGCACTTCCTCGCGGGGCACAAGAGCTTTTTGTAGACGACAAGGACATCATTTAGAAGAGTTTGTGAAAATAATCTACTGTCCATTTTCGGAGAGTCTAGAAATCGGCGAATAATGTTGAGGGGAGCATTCCAAATAACTGAATAACATTTATAAAGAGGGGTATCTCAATTCCCTTTTCTATTTTTCAGAAGGTGAAAGTTGAGCCTTATAGTACTCCGCCTTAGAGTTCAAGAGAGGATTAATTCAAAAGTTTTCGTATACCTTTTAACGAAGAATATATGCGATATTTGAACACAATATTAGGAAGCATAATGAAGAAGAATCTTAGGAATATATTGATAACTAAAAATTGAAAACAAACGGAAATGAGGTTGTCTTTTCGGGAATAATCTTTTCAATTTTCAAGTAAAGTATTTACGTGTTAAATTAATAAAATGTTAATTGGCTTTTTTATCCAATATTGGATAATTTAAAAAGTTATGTCATTGTTTTCGTTGAGGTAAAAGTTTGAAGTGATTCGAAAAACTAGATTGCAGGTAAACGGGAAACCGAAGTTATTATGAAGATAAAAATTACTTTCTGCTTAATGTTTAGATATATTCAATTTACATCAACTCATTTCTTGATTCATTCATTCATTACCTCATTTATTCACATTTCTCTATACCAGCAAGTATTTCAGAGGACTTTTCGAGAACAGCCAAATTAATCTTCTCTGACAATTCCACGAAAGAACGTGGGATGATGCTTCATCCACTTCCAGCATGAGGACATTGAATCTTCCGGTAGACAATAAATGATAAACTGTCGTGTTGTTCTCTTTCGGTCAATTGTGGCTGCAAGCCTACGCAATCGTGAGTGTTTGCAGGCGTGGATTTTCCCACCGGAATGTCTGCAATAGTCAGTCTGTCTGTCTGTCTATCTGCCTCTCTCTCT